AATTTTTCCATGGTTGGAGATGTAGAGAACTTTGGGGGAGATTTTGCAGGTCTTGGGATATGTTTTCATGGGGATGAATCAGATATAGAGATGTCTGATGGCTTGGTGCATGTGTTTCAAGAGACCCGAGATATGTACGATATGAACGATCCAAACATCTACGTTGTACTGGATGAAGGGTGTAATTCAATTTGTTACTCTAAACATTGGGCTGAGGTAATTGAGAAGAAATTGAAGAATTTGGGGTACCAGTTTCCATTCAATGATACCAAGGGGAAAACCTTCTCTGGATTGGGGACTGGGGGAACCTCGACAGAGGGATCCCGAACCTTGCCTTTCAGCCTGAATTTCGTGGATAGCCATTGTACACCCGTACATGGGGTACTTGAGACACACCAACTTAGCTCCGGGACATCACCACTCTTGCTGTCACTGCATGCTCAAGCCCATCTGGGACTTGTCAAGGACTTGAAGAATGGAATAGTGTCCATTGATGGTAATCAATTGCCAATTTTCAGATGTTCTCACACAGGTTTGATGATATTAGCAATTACCCCAAATCAAATTAATCCAACAGGAAAAACATCCCATTATATTTCACAACAGATCCCAAAATGCCACAGAAAATTTCGAACTGCCTTTGCCGCCCTATCCGACGAGCCTGGTTCGCCATCGGCCAGTGAGATGTTGAGGTCTCCAAGTGGCTACAGCTCGTCAAGCGCAGACCACATCGAAGATGTCGTGAACAGCTGTTTGAGGGGATTGGACAGATCCCGATGCCTTGTGGTCACTTCGGGTGCTCGTTGGACTGGTCGACAGCCAAGCTTTCCTGGCGCTAAGGTTCTTCAAATTGACTGCAGATCCTGACAATGACAGATCGATCCGAGGTTACACTGGACGACATCCTAGGATTGTTCGGGGAGTTGCACTTCATGAGGCAATGAATGACCTCGTTGACAGGTGACAAATTTCTTGAGGGCTAACCCGAATGGGAAGCTTGTGATTCATTTGTACTGCACCAGTGGTCGTCATCGCAGTGTTGGATTGGCAGCTTTGATCTATTACTTCTTGGATGTAATTGATTGGAGGAAACCTTTGCTGATCCATTATCACAGCCCGGAGTGGCGCGATATAACTTGTGGAGGTCATTGCAGCCTTTGTGCAACAGCCGACACCAGAGAGCTTAGTGACTTGATGAACAGGTACCTTCCTGACGTGCGTGTTGTGGATGTGGATAAATCTGAAAGGTCATCAGGAGTTGCTAGGCCGCCTGAACCTGTTAGGCCACCGGCACCAGGGCCTACTACAACGGCGACGAGAACTTTCCCCACGTTGACACCATCCAGGACCGTGCCAATTCCAGTCCGTGTTCCTATGCCACCATCCTCTGAAGGTATATCGACAAGGACGCCCTTGACACCCAGGTATATTCCAGCATATCCACCTCCAAACCGCAGTGCTGGAGACTCATCTCGTGGAGGAGGAGTACATCACGAAGGAGATGAACGAGGCCGTGATTATGGAGGACAAGACCGAGACTTAGCAGTACAGGTTCTTGCTAATCAGGTCCAGGAGCTTTCAGGTCTTGTGAGGCAGGTGCTTGAAGAAGAACGAGCTGATCGTGGAAGGACCAG